TTATTTCACCACATGCCGAGTGCATAACTTACCCATGCTTATTTCACCACATGCCGAGTGCATAACTACCCATGCTTATTTCACCACATGCCGAGTGCATAACTACCCATGCTTATTTCACCACATGCCGAGTGCATAACTTACCCATGCTTATTTCACCACATGCCGAGTGCATAACTTAGCCATGCTTATTTCACCACATGCCGAGTGCATAACTTACCATGTTTATATCATCACATGCCGAGTGCATAACTTACCCATGCTTATTTCACCACATGCCGAGTGCACAACTTACATATGTTTATATCACCACATGTCGAGTGCATAACTTACCCATGCTTATTTCACCACATGCCGAGTGCATAACTTACCCATGCTTATTTCACCACATGCCGAGTGCAGAACTTACCCATGTTTATTTCACCACATGCCGAGTTCTTAACTTATCCATGTTTATATCACCACATGCCGAGTTCTTAACTTATCCATGCTTATTTCACCACATGCCGAGTGCTTAACTTACCCATGTTTATATCACCACATGCCGAGTTCTTAACTTATCCATGCTTATTTCACCACATGCCGAGTGCATAACTTACCCATGCTTAATTCATCACATGCCGAGTGCATATATTCTCCATTTTTATTCCACCGCATGCCAAGTGAATATCTTACCCATTCTTATTTCACGACGTATGAGTGCATATCTTACCCATGCTTATGTTACCACATGGCAAGAACATATCTTGCCCATGCTTAATTCGTCACATTGGAGAGCATATTTTACCCATGCTTATGTTACCACATGGCAAGAACATATCTTACCCATGCTTAATTCGTCACATTGGAGAGCATATTTTCCCCATGCTTATTTCACCACATGCTAAGAGCATATCTTGCCATGCATAATTCATCACATGCCGTGAACTTATCTTACCCATGCTTATTTCATCACATGCCAAGTGCATATCTTACCCAATACTTATTACACCACAACCAAGAACATATCCTACCCATGCTTATTTCACCACACGCTAAGAGCATATCTTTCTCATGCTTATTTCACCACATGCCGAGTGCATATCTTACCCATGCTTATTTCACAAAGTGCTGCAAGTTTCTGATCACAGTAGGCGGTAGCGAATCCTACTTTTTGTGCAGGAACAAATCCACATCCACCTTCCTCATCAGGCTCGCCTTTCATCCACAAATCATCATATGCTAGCGGTGACCCATCACTCCAACTCCATATTTGTTGATTCTTAGTCAGTCCAATCCATGTACCCGGGGAGTCATGTTGTTCTGAAAAGAAAACAAAAACAATAACTCATAAAACACCTTTCCTATAAATCGCGCCGTCTTGTGACGAATCGCTTATATAGCGTAATTTGGTGACACGAAAGCCGGTCAAAGCGTCGATATGTTTTGATCTGTGAATACCCATCAATGGAAGAGATTCCATCAATGGAAAAGATTATACTATATTCTAGCCGACGAACGACTACAGATCCATTTACAGTTGTCCATTTGAGTGGCATTGCCTCGTACCTCATTTTGACATCATAGAAGCACGATGTCACGAGAGGGGGCCATTTGGTAGAACGATGTAATGTTAATTAATAAGGTTAACTCATTTTATCACGCAAGAGTTGTCTGAATAATATATTACTCACGTTGTGAATCGTGTGACGTCAGGTGATATGCTTTGTAGTAATCATCGATTTCATTAAAATCAGCTAGGTGTGCTCTTTCGTCCAAGTCTTTACATGCATCAACTGAGGTAAAATAACTTCTATAGACACCACCGCCCAACTTGTAATAACACGAATTGCCATAGGAATACCATTGATTGGATGGGCATTTGATATCTAAAAAGTAGTATTATATTTGCACTTAATTTATGTTGCTTGTTGCGGGCATTTGAAACGATCAAGACAATGTTGATCAGTGAGCAGCGCCCTCTATGGCGTAGAATAATTTTCAGAAAATAGTAAATCGCTTAAAACATTGTTATTTTTTTAGAAATGAACGACGAGTGATCGAAACAAAATCCTTGACGTGACTAATCTCCTTATTACCCAATTACGTCACATGAGCGCTTCTATCCGAGAAAGCGCGGCTTTTAGAAAAAAGAACATTCTATTTCTCTGCATACTCACAAAGGTCTTCCTCAGACGAGGCTGTAACTGAAACTGCGACACCGTAAAGCGCCAAAACGGACAGAAACCACACAGAACACATTTCGCAAACTGGACAAGTAATCTGGTAATTTGATAAATAAATAAATAAATAAATAAATAAATAAATAAATAAATAAATAAATAAATAAATAAATAAATAAATAAATAAATAAATAAA